TTAGCTACCAATAACTACATTAATACATTCTTTATGCTTGTGGCTTTGTATGCTACATAGCCATAACAAGTGGCCAAAACAGCCCTAATGCAACTGCAAACGGCATTCTTAGAAATAGTGTGGTTCATTTCCTGCTCAAGTGTCCCAAGTGTGGTTCCTGTCTGCTGATAACTTATCGACTGAGTGAAGAAACAAACAGCACCCTGGAACAATCAGTATCCAGCGAGCAGTTCTACATAAACACATGGACAGGCTGAGAGTGGCGCTCTGCAGGGAGCTGGTTCAGGGGCCAGCCGTGACATTAACATTTAGATTGAGGAGTCAGGGGTAAGATGAGAGCCAACAGGTGTACACCCAATTAAATGCGCTTGACAAAAGGGACAGGAAATGAGAGGAAAGACTCCAGTAGTGGAGGGGACGATGATTAAAATGGGGAAGGAGAGAAAGTAAGATGACAGAAATAATTTCCTTGCGGAGCCTTGTAGCAAGGAAAAGTGTAGACGACAGCAGAGGCGAGGTTCGCAGCCAAGCCATCAATCACCATTTGATTGGAAGGGTTTGTTTGCTCGCTGTGAGGCTGCGCTGTGACAAAACCGAAAACAAAGCACCGGAGCCATGCTGTCCTAGGACGGCACGTTTCTTCGTTGTGCTATGAGAACAGTTTGGTGTGCTGGGAAAGCTTCCAACATCTCCGTGGTGGTGCTCCCTTGTTTGCAGAGACAATGATTCTGTTATTCTGATCCTTCCACACACACAAAAAACACATCAACCTGCCTGGTGCTGATGGGGTGTTAAACCTGCCAGAGTTGTAACACCTCCACTTTCAGCATCTGGGCTGCACGATCATGATACAACCGAATCCTTTTTATTCAGGAAAACCATGACTGTTTTTAGTTTCAGAAGGTTCCAATTATATTTTCAACAGGCCGTGTGAGGCATTTCATAGAGGAGGGAACATCACTGGTGGCAAAATGAGTCAGTTAACGTTGAAGGCCACAAGATTTTTTTTTACTGAGCTTATTTGCTGCTTTAATACGGCATCACATAGTTTAAGGTAAAGAAAAGATGCTGGGGTTTATAATTTTTGGTTCTCTGCCATATTCATTGATGCATCTTAATTTCTAGTTTATAATAATCTAGATTCTTCTTTTTCTTTCGGCTTTTCCCTCTTCAGGGGTCGCCACAGCGAGTCATCCTCCATCTCACTCTGTCCTCTGCATCCTCTGTCCTCACTCCAACTACCTCCATGTCCTCTCTAACTGCATCCATAGATCTCCTCATTAAGCTTACTCTTTGTCTTTTTCCTGCTAACTGCATTTCTAACATCCTTCTACCAGTATACCCACTGTCCCGCCTCTGGACGTTTCCAAACCATCTCAGTCTGGTCTCTCTAACTTTATCTCTCAGTTGTTCAACCTGTGCTGTACCTCTGATGATCTCATTCTTAATCTTATACTTTCTTGTCACTTCTAAGGAGAACCTCAACCTGAACCTAATTTCTGCCACTTCCAGTTCCGTCTTCTGTCTTTTTGTCCATGTCTCTGTCTCCAGACCATACGACATAGCTGGTCTCATCACTGTCTTGAAAACTTCTCCTTTGATCTTTTGCTGACACCCTGTTGTCACAAATCACTCATGACACTTTTCTCCATCCACTCCATCCTAGCTAGACTCTTTTTCACCTCTTTACCACACTCCCCATTTTCCTGGACAGTGGATTACAAGTCCTTGAAGTCCTGCACCTTTGTGACCTCTGCTCCTTGTAGCCTCACTGTTCCACCGGTCTCCCTCTCATTCACACACATGTACTCTGTCTTACTACAGCTGACTTTCATTCCACAACTTTCAAGTGAATACCTCCACCTCTCCAAGTTCTCTTCCACATGTTCCCCGTTCTCACCACAGATCACAATGTCATCTGCAAACATCATAGTCCATGGGGATTCCTGCATGACCTCATCTGTTAGTTGGTTCATCACCAGAGCAAACAAGAAGGGGCTCAGAGCCGATCCTTGATGTACTCCCACCTCCACCTTGAAGCTATCCGTCACTCCTACAGCACATCTCACCACTGGCCTGCTGTCCTCATACACGTCTTCATACAAAAAAAAACCCTGCAGTATGACTTTTTATAATTGTTTATTGTTGTTGCTGTTGCCCATTGTCATCTTTCTTCGTTGAAATCAGGTCTCTCTTGTAAATGAGTCCTCGAGGCTCAATGGGATTACCTGTCTAAATAAAGGTTGAATGAAAATGTCCTCATACATGTCCTGTACCAGTCTAACATACTTCCCTGCCACTCCAGATTTCCTCATGCAATACCACAACGCCTCCCTCGGCCCTCTGTCCTAAATCCACAAAGACACGATGGAGTTCTTTCTGACCCTCTGCACTTCTCCATCAGCATCCTCAAAGCAAATATGGCATCTGTGCTGCTCTTTCTTGGCATGAAACCATACTGCTGCTCACAGTCACCTCCCTCGTTTAAGTCTAGCTTTCATAATTCTCCCAGATCTCCATTGCATTATATAGTCTAGATTATGACTCAGAAAATGCTTACACTGAAGTTACAAAAAGTGACTTCACAATTCAGTTTGATTTGTTTTACCAATACACTACCAATTCACAATTTTCTGAATGGCTAATGAGATTCATTCAAAATATCTCATTAACCACTGTCAAGTAACTTTAGCAAATACAAAGATAGCGATAGCATTTTACAGCTACTGACCTTAAATTTTGTGTTAGTAGCCGAGATTGGTTTGCAACACAGTCAGAACACTAGTTGATTGCAAGATCTAAAAGAATTCACAAACCACTGAACGGATGATACTGAAACTCTCAGAAAGTAAATATTGGGTGCACATCTACAACTGATTAACTTTTGGAGTCATTTCAAATCAAGAGCCCATACCAGCTAATTACATTAGCCAACAAAAAAAGGGAAACAACTCAGTGAATTTTACAAACATTTTAGTCAAATCACTTCTTGGTCTGCTGCCTTCATACATCTCCTACATGTCTCTGCGTGAGTGCAGCTACAGCGTGCGCTCTCAGGACATTATTACCTGCAGTGTTCCCTCAGTGCGGACTGAACTAGGTAAAAGGACCTCCTCCTACTCTGCTCCTGTTCCCTGGAATATCTTACAAAAAGATTTGAAGCTCTCGACCTTGACCTCTCTAAGTGGCTTTAAGAATCTGTTGGACTCCTGGCAGGGACCAATGCAGACATGTTCCTGTTTTTAGTTTTCTACATTCGCCTTACAATCTAGCTGTTTTTTGTTACTTTATTTAGCCATCTTATTTGTAAAAAAAAAAAAATCTGTATGCCTTTTTATAACTGTCTATTGCTGTCGCTGTTGTCCATTATTTTCATCATTCTTTGTTGAAATCAGGTCTCTTGTAAATGACTCCTCGAGGCTCAATGGGATTTACCTGTCTAAATAAAGGTTGAATGAATATTTATGCTTTGACCAATACAACTACAATTCTGTCATTTTTCAAAATAAGATGATTTTAGCCTAAAACTACAACATGAAAGGCATCAGGTGATAGGTGCTGCTTTAACAATCATCAACCTGCATTCAGTCAATCAAATTAGAAATCTGTGGCAAGTTACTAAAATATTTGAATAAGTTGAGAAAAATGCACACATTTACTGGTTCCAGCATCTCCTAAAGCAAACACCTTAAAACACCAAATTCTAGTATTAGATATTTTATGTTATTAGCTGCATGCTTTAATGCTCCACAAATTAAAGATGAACTTGATATAATAGATTAATATTTCAGAGGAGATGTTGGAACAGTTGTCGGCTCATTACCGAACACTTGGGAGAAATCACCGCAGGCTTCTTTTAGAACCTCCGAGGTTTAGCAGATCTGGTTGCAGGAGGATTTCACACAGTCTGGACCGCCATTTGGTAACATTCATATGGCAATATGACGAGTTCTGCTGTGTAGGAGCTGGAGATGGCTGTTAACTGCACGCAGCTTTTTCAAAGATGCTCAACCCACTGAAGTCACAGCTGTTGTATATAATAACAAACAAGCCCGTCTCACATTTTCAAAGACAATTTCCAGTTCTTGTAAGACTTAAGGAAAAGGTGCGACTGCTGGCAGACAGCACCGCTCTTTAAAACACATTTCTTTTTCCTTTAATGCCATCAAAAATATGTGCCATGTCTCAAATTAACTAAGTGGTGCGATAAACCTGTGATTGTTTAGAACAAAACCCGCCAGCATTAAGATCTTTTTTATGTTTCAAATGTGCTTTGTGTTACGCAGGAAGAGAATTAAGATGGAAAAGTGTCACAGATTATAAACCAATTAGAAAAGTGAAATCACATTAAGCACCAAACTCTAAAGCCATGATGCATATGTGCTTCTATCTCCTTGACAATGACGGTAAAGCTACTTCTACATGTCTTTTGTCAGCTCTACGTGTATCTGAGCTGTAGGATCTTATAGCTGTCAGCTGAGACTGACAGATGACAGAAGAAAAAAAAAACATTTTAATGCAGCAGGTGTGGTACTGGCACAAAACTGCACACCGATTTTAGTGTTGAGGACTGAAGGCAACACCCGGAGACTTCTTTTATTGAAGAATCAAGCAAGGTGCTGCTTCTGTCACACCGAAGCAGCTTCCTCTTCCTTCCACACACAAAGAGCTTCAGATCAGAGCTTTAGGTGGCAGGAAAAAAAGAAACTCCTGGAACCAAACTAATTATCTTATAATCTTGGAGGAGAAAAGTGATTTTCCTTCAAGTGAACCGAGAGAGCACAGACACAGCAGAGCAACAGGCATCACATCCAACATCCAAGCGCAAAGAAAAGATGCTTTGATACAGAGTGTGTGTGTTTGCATCTGTTCTGGAATTTGTTTAGGTTATTTTTGGCCTCACAATATCAGGCTGTTTCACACTTCCGAGTGAGTAGAACAACTCGACTGATAAACAACAAGACAAACACTGCACGGCGCCGAATGTTAGAGTCATTCACCTCAGGTTAGCAGCAAAATTGGAGATGCAGTTAACCATCTCCGCATTCTGTTTGTCTGCACCCCACATGCTGTAGAGAAAAATGGAGGGGGAGGAGGGACAAAAACAAGAAGCAGTTACAAGCTGCTCCTTCAGCCACAAGTTATAGTCAGGCAGAACCAGATATAGCTCCAACAACGATTTAACTCTAATAACGGCACCTTCTGGTTTAAAAACTGATACTTTGACATCGTTTACATTGTTAAAAATAGAAATATGCTATCTGCTAACAGATTCAGAACAGATGAGTGATTTTTCCTCAAATCACTGGAATCACTTCAATGTAACTGAAGAACAACCACGACTGTGAAAAAGTTTAAACATTGTGTAAAATGTATAGGAAAACAGAATACAAGACTTAGGAAACCTCAAACACATATTTTATTTACAGTAAAATGGAAATATTTCAAATGTGTCAAAAAAAAAAAGGTCAATATTTTTAAAGATAATAAAAAACTGGTTAATTTTGAGTTTGATTTCAGCAATATAATTTTAAGAAGTTGGGACAGGGTCACCAAAAGGTTGTAAAGGAAGTGGTACGAACAAGAAACATCTGGAGGAGTGTTTTGCAACTAATTAGGATAATTGGTGACAGGTGAGCAAGAGGACTGGGTCCAAAAAGAATAGACTTTTGGAGAGGCTGAATCTCTTAGAAGTAAAGATGGGCAGAGGTTAACAAGTCTGCAGAAAACTAAACGCAACAATGTTCAGTCAGGTCATCTGGACGGGTTCTTTTTTTGCTGAGACGTTTCGTCCTTCATCCAAAGGACTTCATCAGTCTGAGGAGCGACAAACAAACTGATTCCCACAATCAGCACACTCACATAGTGGGGAAAAAACAAACAGTTTGCTGGTGATGAGATGGTTTCTGGGGCCCGTCCTCTCCCCCATCAACTCCTCTGAAGCAGCCATGCCAAAGTGGTTCAGAACATGGTGATAAGATTTTTATAAGATGACAATCTTATCACCAGCAAACTGGTGTTTTCCACTGTGGGAGTGTGCTGATTGTGGGAACCAGTTTGTTTGTGGCTCCTCGGATTGAAGAAGTCCTTTGGATGAAGGACGAAACGTCTCAGCAAAAAAAAAAAAAAAAAAGTCCAGATGACCTGACTGAACATTGTTGGATTTTTACCTGGATTACTGAGCATGAACTTTGATATCTAAACATAATTTATTTAATTTTCAATTGAGGAGCAATACTTCAGAATACTGTTCCTCTGCAGAAGGTTGCAGATAAGGCTTTGGTGGTATCCAGTTCATATCATCGTCAAAGATTTTATGAACCTGAAGAAATATCTGAGCCTAAAGGACAAGATTGAAATTCAATACTGGAAGACAGCACTGCATTTAAAAACAAGCCTTATTCCTTTATGGTCATCACTGCATGGGCTCAGCAACACTTCCACAAATCACTGTCTACAAACGCAGTGAAACGCTGGTTTAATCGATATGCAAAGAAGATGCATTAAGTGAACATCATTCAAAAACACTCCAGTCTTCTCTGGGTCAAAGCTCAGTAAAACAAACTGAGGCAAACTTCAGAACTGTTCTGTGATCAGACAAATCAAAACTTAAAAACTCTTTTTGCTTATCATGAATGCTAACTAAAGAGGAGACCATTCAGCCTGTTATCAGCCTTCTCTGCTGGTATGGGGGTGCATTATTGCATATGGCATGGGCAGCTTAAACATGTTTATCAATGCAGAAAAGTATATAAAAGTTTTAGGAAAACATTTGCTCCCATCCAGCAAAGAAGGCCCAGGATTGTTGAACCACTAGAAACTTACTTCAGACAAAAAAATGGGACAACATTCTCCACAACAAACAAACAAAAATCTGGTTTCCTCAGCTCCTAGATGTTTACAGACTGGTTTTAAAAGCAGATGGAAAAGTTTACAGTCATATACAAGGCCCGGTCCCAACTGCTTTGAGATGTGTTGCTGATATAAAATTATTTTTCCCTCTAAAAACTGTAAAATTTCTTTGTTCAAACATTTGATATTTTAACTAACATTTTAAACATTTGATTTTTTTTTATTAAAGTTTTAATTTAACACGAGTTTACAAATAAGGGAGTTTATGCATTATGTTTAACAAAAATACAACTTTAGGTTGAAAATGACATGAGCATGATCTCAACGTTTCTGTGGTGGTTTAGATATTAGGATTATTTTTAAACCACATGTTAAAAACTCAAGTGATTTTGTCAGGTGACCTTTAAATTTAGCAAAAACATAATTAATTATGTTCTTATCGTGCATAACAGGATGATGACCGAGTTGTCAGGAAAGGAGGATGAACTGAAAACACCTGTGTGGGTGCAGTAATTTGGAAGGACTGAATCTGCTTGGGGATAAAATGCACCGCAGCACATTTAGAAAGAGAAGCTGAAGGGTCCGTCAGAGAAACTACATCTATGAAAACATCAGAAGCCATCCTAGTGAACACATTCTGTCCTAGAAGGTAAACCTGATTCTAGACCAGCATCACAGCAGGCAAAATAGGAGCATAGTAAGTTCTTTATACTTAAAAATAAAAACACGTTAGCTGGATACCACGGGCTTACTACAAGGAGTTAAATCAGAGTGGGACTGCAGTGGAAGTCAGCTCGGGTTGTCAACAGGGGGGTATCTAGGTCACCAGAAAGATAAATTACCAACAGCTGGAGTGATCCCACTGCTTGTATGGTAGGGGTACTTCAAGAGTTTAAGTGTGTATTTTGGTGGGTTTACTGAATCAGCTAAAATGGAAGTCCCCTGAACAGTTGTTTAGAAGAAAAGTTTAATTGTGAGCAAAACTACTGCCTTAATCGCAGAAATGCACTTAAGGTGGAAGAGAGAACTTACACCAAGTTATTGAGTGATGCCAATGTCAACTGCTGTTGCTGCTGCTGTTGTTGTTGTTGCTGGGAGACCGCCGGCTGCTGTTGCCAGGCAGCCATGTTGCCAGGCACCAGCCCTGGTGGTGTGAACGTCTGAAGCGCTGTGAGGTCGGCGCTCGTCAGCTGGTAGTCTGGGATTAAGGGATAGAAATGAAGACAGAGGGAGAAAGAGAGAAAGTGATGATGAGGAGGGCTGGTGGGGGTGTGGGATTGTTTTACATCATACAACTTTCTGCCGCATCAATATTAACCACGGCTAATCCATATTAATGTGGACCTTTGAAGTGGAATCCTTCCAAAAGTTCTCACACAATGAACAAAGTGAATATTCATAGTGGTTTGTGGCATCATTCTGCAAGTGTTTCATGACACAGTTTAGACTATAATTTCTAATCTGCATCTTTTCCGTTTCTTTTAAATTCATCATCGGTGGCGGCAGTTTCATTCCAGTCCTGATGCAAACAGACAAATTCAGTTCAAGCTGCTAAAATATCCGGTCCCATCGTTAGGGGCAGTGCTGCGTTCAAGGACTTACCCGTGTTGTAGGCTGTCTGCATGCCGGGGAAAGGTGCAAGGAGACTGGGTGTTGCCACAGAAACAACAGGGGTAGTGAGTGGCTGTGTCACCTGTGAGACTCCTAGTCGCTGAGCATTCTGGGTAGAGGGCAAGATATAAAGAAGATCATCAGTTAAAAGAGAAAATAGGAAAAGTTTACCCCTAGTGGTGGTCTCATAATTGGATTCACAGTTCTAGAACATATTTAGCCACTGAAAAGTAGTTAGGTTTTGTGAAAACGTATAAAAGAAGTACAAAAAGTACTCCAGATGCAATTTTCTGCATTGCTTCTATGCACAGTAGAGTTAATTTATGTTAAAATATGATTTCCTGCAGGAATCTGGCACTGATGCAATTATATCTGAGTGATTACGGAATCTCTAACATATCTATAAAATTTCTGTCTAAACAAAAAAAAACAACAAAAAAAAACACCCGACTGAGATTTACAATTAAAACAATATTTAGTTTCATCTTTTTTTCCTTGGACCCATGAATCCAGAGCTGTAGCTGTGAGTTGTGAGAGAACTTGGTCTGGTTCCACAACCATTCCTGCCTTACTTTTCCCTTTTATGGACAGAGTGTAGAAGTTCACGGCTCATGACTTCATCTTTTTTCAACAGCAACAATGATAATGGCTAGCATGTGCCTTCCACTGTGCAGCAGAGCGGATGCAGAGACCTTGCAAGAACAATTCAGTTAATACTGGAATATTAAACTAGAAACACCATATTCTACTTCCCACTGAAATAAAAACAAATAGACTGGACCCTCGGAAAGATGTGCATGAACTTTAATCCTCGTTCAACAGTTTTCCTTCCACTTCGAATGTCTCGTTTATCATACTACAAGTACTAATAGCAGAATAATCTTTATTAACAGATACTTCATCTGTCTGTGCAGTGAATTCTCAGATGTTTTTAGAATTGTGCTCCATCTGGAGACGTCTTGTTCCCTGAAAGAAAATCCAGCCACCCGACTTCTCCCCGAGGTGTTCAACTTTTCTGCAACAACTGAACATTGTCGTGCAAGATGAGAAAATTCTCGGATGAGAACGCGACGTTGGCACAGCAACGTTGTCGCCAGGGCTCATGTTCTGTAGAATCACGGTGGAAAGGTGTTATGAGAGGTAGCGCTGTGCTGGAGGATCATGCTGACAGGAACGCATGCATCGGCAAGGCTGACGGAGGGGGACATGAGTGAGGATGAGTGTGTGTATGAACGCGTTTTCCTTAAAATAAAAAAAGAGAAACAAGAAAGTGAGGAGTATCTCTGGAATAAATACACAATGCGAGGTGTGAGTTGTGAAGTGTGTGTATAATTATGCAAAGAATAATGCATGCATGTGTGTGCATCTGTGTGCGAGACTGAATGGGGTCAGAGTATCTGAGGCTAACGTGCCCATCTGTGTTCCAGGTTGGAGACTTTGCGAGCGTTCCTCCCTCTGATCCTCGGAACATAGACACTCAGATGAAACCAAACATGCACATGCCGAGCAGCTTTAACACAAAGCAGAGAGTCAGCTGGTTGCTCCAGTTCCCTCAACATTTCCTCTCTATAGCCTGTGCTGCACAAATGTCACTGTGGGCTGGGCTCTGCAGGGTCATCGATATGTATTAAAACTCTGTTCCAGTTCATTTTAAAAGGACTTGTGATCATTTCTAATGTTACAAAACTAAACATTCAGACCATAAACCATCACTAAAACATGTTTGCAATTGGGCCAAAGTCAATATGAAGGTACTATTCTACTGATGGACAGTACACACTGGCTCCAAAACTGCTCCGATTCCAACAGGTTTATGTTTAGTAGCAACTTATCACCTAAAATATTAAGATTTTTTCCACCATTCATTTTACATCATGAGCTCATTCCATACTTTCCTGTCAAAAAGATGCCCGTTCTTCTGAAAATAATTATACAATTAATAGGGTTTGAGTAACAAGCCTGGTGGTAAGAGCAGCCACAAGTTTCTTTTACCAGTAAAGAGGAAAAACGTGATGCAAATAGTTTTGATGCACGGCTACTATTCCATTTGAATTAGTTGGAGGAGTAGCCGATATATCCAGATACATGCTCAATAACACAGGTAGAAAAATCCAACAAAGTTAAGTCAGGTCCTCTGGATGGTTTATTTTTGTTGAAACGTTTAGCTTTTCATCCAAAGGACTTCATCAGTCCAAGGACCCACAACAAACTCAGTCTTATAAATAGCATCTTCACATAGTGGGTCAACCAGGATTTTTCTACCTGGATTATTGAGCATGAACTTTGATGTTTTGAACCACTTTGGCCATGACTGCCTCAAACGAGTCGGCGGGGGAGAGGGCGGACTCCAAAAACCATCTGAGCGCCATCAAACTTGATTGTCCACTATGTGAGGCTCCTCGGACTGATGAAGTCTTTTGGATGAAAGACGAAACGTTTCAACAAAAAAGAAACCGTCCAGAGGATCTGACTTAACTTGGAGTAGCGGATATGTTTACCATAAGCTGTGTAGCTACATATTGTGTGGTATAAATGCAAAAAAATAACAATATACGGTTGTATTGTGCTGAAAATTTCCTCAAAGAATTAAGTGCGTAAGTTTAAATGTAAGTAACCTGATTAGCATCTGCAGCACTATAAACCAGATAGAGTTCTGCCTGCAGCACATCCTGAACCCTAAACCACAAATCTTCTGGGAACAGAGACAATCAGCTGATTTTTTCCACTATTTGAAAGTTGCTCTGATGCTCCGGTGGTTTTCCTTCATTTCCTTTCATAGCCGAGTCGACCCTGATGGGATGCGTTTGCCGACGGTGTCACACTCATGCTCAGTGAGATCACACAGAGTTCGACGCCACATCCACGAGGCTGAAACTCTAAAAGTCTATTCACCTCACTCACCAACTCCAGCTCTTCCTCTGTCTGCATGGCCGGTGGAGGAGGAGGAGGAGGGAGTAAAAAAAAAAAGGGCAGAGGACGTTAAGTTTCTGGTAACTGTGACCCAAATATGAACATCTATTCATGAATGGTGCTGAAAACTGGACCGCATTTTCCAAGCATGTTGCACAGTGATCTAAAAAAAAAATAATCAAAATTAATACCGTATTTTTCGGACTATAAGGTGCACCGGATTATAAGGCGCATTAAGCGAAACTAAAATATTTTGACAGATTTTTGAGCGCCGTGTACCACATAAAATCAGTTTGAGGTCAGTAAGCACAACCAGAATTAATGCATAAGGTGCACTGGATTATAAGGCTCACTGTTGATTTTTGAAAAAATTAAAGGGTTTTAACTGCGCCCTACAGTCCGAAAAATATGGTAATAAAAAAAATTGGGTTTATAGTTGTTGGAATGAAGAAACCTCAGTTATGTCACATCCTGTAATCTGAAAGCAAACATCTACAATTTATGAGTGTTTGTGGCATTTGTTGTTATATTTGCTGTGAATATGAAAACATATTTCTGATCCTCAATGGCCTCATGCTTGTTTAAAACCATTTCTCTCCTCCCAGGGTTCAGTCAGGTTGATCAAAATCCAAATCAGCACCAACTGGTTTCAGTGTAATGAACATTAATAGTTTGGTTACGGGTGTGCACATGAATGTCATTTCTGCTCAACTGACATACAGGATGATGTTTCTGACCTCATACATTCAGGACGTGCATCGCCAAGCAAGTTAAGAGCAGATTTTAAAGCTACTTATTTCTACAGTCTGAGCTAAGCAGATAAAAATGTTATGATGGACTTCAAATAAACTGAAAAGAAGATGGACACCAGACATCTTGTTAAAGCACAGCCCTTAAGGCTGACTGGAAATTATCTTAATATATAATAGCAAACCCATTTAAATTCTGACCCCTTCAAAAGTTTTCTTCCTTCACGAAGAGTCAAACGATTTGCACAAGTTTAGAAGGCCATAATTTTTTTAAAAAAACCTTGATGTTTACTGTATAATGCAGCGAATAAACAGTGTCAAAGATATTATAGGTAGTGGGGATGCACGATACTGGATTTTTGGCCAATATCCGATATACCGATATGTTAAAATTATTTGGCTGATAACCGATACCAATACAGATATTGCGTCTCCTAGACCTACTTACAGAGACAACATAGCTTTCTCTGCTGTGGAATTAAAATACATTATTCTGCAGGGTCTTTGTCACTTTGACCTGCTACTAAATGCAGATGTCAAAAAGGGGTCTGAAAAAGATGTAACACTTCAACTTGGATTACGTTTAATGTCAAATTTATTTACAATATTTACTCTCTCTAAAACGACAACACTCAAACAGTGCAAATTTGTAAATTTTCACCCATCTAAACTCAACGGCGCGTGTGACGTCATAACGTCATGCTGGCGCAGCAGCCATCCTCGTCACTGGGTTGTCATACAAAAACAGCACCTTAAAAAAACAGCACCTTTTATATCAGGGAGTTATTTTGATGGAATGGCCGATGTCCGATATTTAACTTTATCGTTAATATCAGCCGATACCATGCCAATAATATCGTGCATCCCTAATAGGTAGTAAAAAGTAAAAACCATTGTTTGTGAGGCAGCATCAAGCAGGTGACCAAGTCAACATGAAATTAGAATGTTTTATCCATGTATCCTGTGGGTCCTCACCAGCTGCATGAGGTTCTTGCCACTCTGTGAAGTGATGACCCTCAGGTCCGGTTTGCGGCTGTTGACCATCTGAGGGCTGGGTGGAGGTGGAGACTTAGCCGGGACTACTTTCCCGAGGCTGTTGCTATTGGATACGGACAAGAGGCCTGGAGAGGCCCTGGCACTGATGTAGCCATTAGCTGGAGAGACAAAAATAAAGAGAGTGAGGTTTAGTGAAGAGGCAGGTAAGAAGGAGGTTTTGTGTTTTTTGTCTCTTCTGATGTTTCCAGCTTCAGTATCTACCTGTGAGCTGCTCTCGTCTACCTTTTCGTATGCGTTTGTGTGTTCTCATTAGCGAGTCGGATCCCTTTTGTTGTACCACAAGCTCTTCATCATTTTTTACAGCTCAAACAAAGTTTTTTTGGCGGCGTTCTGATTTTCTTTAGCTTTTTCACATCAAAACCGTGCCACGCTCTCTCCTGAACTGTTTTGTTTTCACTCCCGCTTTCTTCCTACCTCACTTCTTTTTTTTGTTGCACTCGTCTCGACTCGGTGTAAACAAAAACACACACAAAAAAACATGTCTTTGGGCTTTGTCAAACTTGAACTGCAAAGAACACTTTTCTACACAAGTTAGTTTTTATTGTCGTTAAGGCCTAGAAGAACAGTTTCTGTGATGTGAACACAACCCTCTCATACAGTTCAATTAATTCAGTACATCAAATAAAACACCTATTACGGCTTTAAATGTAGTAGATTTGCACCATTTTCTGAATTTGCTTGTACAAAATCCAGAAAATGGTCTAAACTTGACATTTTCTGACCTAAATATCAAGACCCTGGATCTTGACCAAAAAGTTTAAATTGCTTGTCATATTCAATTCAATGCAGTTTATTTATATAGCACCAAGTCACAACAAAAACTCCTTCATGAGGAAGAAACCTTTAGCAGAACCAGGCTCAGGACAAACGGCCATCTGCTTCGACCGGCTGGGTTTGAGAGGAACAGGAAGGAGGAACAGATACACAATGGCAAGTCAAAAATCTTATTAAGATAGAAATAATTTCAAATGAAAATTATTCAATTTTAACAACTCATTTTAAGAAATTAGGTCATTTTGTCCTCCAGTAGTCTCCATAGCAGCATAACAAGCCAACCCTAACTATAGGATTAATCAAAAAGGAAAGTCTTAAGCCCAGTCTTAAAACTGGACAATATGTCAGCCTCAAGGACAGAAACTGGAAGTTGGTTCCACAAAAGAGGAGCCTGATAACTGAAAGATCTTCCTCCCATTCTACTTTTGGAAACTCTAGGAACCACAAGTAAGCCTGCAGTCTGAGTGAAGTGCTCCTTTAGGAAAATATGGAACAATAAGATCTGTAATATAAGATGGAGCTAGGTTGTTGAGAGCTTTGTAGGTTAGAAGCAGGGCTTAATTTGTAAACCGAGTTGTTTAATAACATAAAATATATTTTGTTAGCAAAGAATAGAGTCCTAACATATATTAAACATTACTTCTGTACTAACAAAAACAATAATATTAAAATTGTGCTTTGACAAATTCGTCAATAAAACTAAAAAATGTTTTTAAAAAATAAGTTCTGGTTAGAAGTAAGATTTTGAATTCTATTCTGAATTTGACAGGGAGCCAATCATAGATGACGAAAGCTACAAAAAGGAAAAAAGAAACCACTAAAGATTTTTTAAGAAGCTGATTAATACATTATTTGTTGGTCTTGGGAGATTAGGTCAGTAAAAATAAAAGTGTGCACCTGAAGTAACCGGAGCGATTTAAAGAAATGTACAAGGACACTGATAATACACAATACTGATTTAGTTACACAATGAAAATATATTCTTGTTTGTTTAGGTCTCAATGAGAATTGTTCACAACACACACAAAAAATTATTTAATCACTTATTTTATAAGATGCGGGTTTATTTTGATCTCCTACATTATTTAACAGCACTTTTGTTTTTTTGTTTAAAGGGGAGATTCCCATAACATGACACACGACATTACAGAAATTTACTGGTTAACACACCCTCCTTTGAAAATGCGCAACGGTCACATTCTTAACCTTTACACACAAACACAATTACTACGAGGAACAATAGTAGCTGACACACAACGAGATCAACACAACTCGGTTTATGTGCATATCACTGTAGATACTTTTTCTCGTTTGCAATATTTCAAACAGTTTCCAATTTATTTTTTGCACATTTGAATTTTAATTTTGAAATTTTATGTGGTAAATTGTATTGCATGGATTAACATATTCTGATGAGTTTTATGACAAATGAGTTATGATGAGGTGAAATGAGAGTTAGATGGGTGTCATGACAACAAGACTCCAGCAGTCAGCAGCCTGTCTTTGCTGTTGAGTTTAAACAAGTCCATTTAAACAGAGACTGAATATAAGGCGGACAGCGGGGACTTTCCCAGCACTGACACACACACACACACAGACACACACACACAGACAGTGTATTCCCCTTGGACGGGAGCAGAGAGGGTGTGTGTGTGCGTGATAGCAGATAGCAGTTCTCCATGACGCTGCCTCCAGACACAGTGGCATGTGACTCTGCTTCATCTCAGTTACACACACAAAGTCCGTAAATGCAGCTTGACAACAACAACAAGTCAACACTATCTCTGTTATCAGCTTAGAGGGAGGGGAACAGGACAAAACGAGGCGGGGGGGAGACAGAGGTGGTGGAGGTGGGAGGGTGGACAAGGAAAAAACACAGTGGGAGGAAAGGAACCAAGAAACGGGAGAGGGGAGTTTAAAAAACAAAACTGGACTTTTATTCTGTCGCTGAAGACGTTTCGCTTCCCATCCAGTAAGAGCGATAAAGTGAAACGACTTCAAGCTACAGAACAGAAGAAAACGTTGCGTTTTAACTTTATCTGAATAAAAAGTCAGCTTTTGTTACAAACTACAGTCCACGTTTAAAGCAAAATGTTGATAATTTGCCAACAGTTAATTAATTAATCTTTTCAAAAGCCTTAAAACAACAGTGCAAAACATTTTTGATCCATTGTAACCGAATTTCTCTGAAGGGAAAATAAATATTTAGGTCAAAAGAAAAACTGCTAAAAATGAAAACATCACATTTTACTTAAAAAATAAGTATATGAGAGATGAGGTAAGTCAGGAAAAAACGATAAAATGAGACAGAAAGATGTGAATAATATTAATAGGGCTTAAAGTGCTGGTTATTATACTAATAATACTACTACTACTAATAATAATCAGAATGCCTTTATTGGCACTGTACAGAAGCACAACAAAATTCTATAATAATTACAATTAATAATGATTACATAATTAATAATGATAATAAATAAGGGTGAGAAAACGCATAAAGAAAAAGGTACACCTTCAACAGATAGAAAACATCCACGACACGATCCAGTAAAGGACTGAAATAAGAATAGGAAGAATAAAGCTAAATAGATGGTAAGAATGAAAAATAAGGTGAAGGAAGAAAATGTGTGGGAGAATAAAACCAAGGGCGGAAGGAGGGAAGTGAAAGTGGGGGAGAAGTTACTGAAAGAAGATGATGAAAACTGTTTGTATGAAATAAAACTTAAAACTTCTTTAAAAAAATATGAAAGTTGTCTCATTGCCATTTGGTCACTTGGATCACCCGTGTCCTGTTGGTGCACAGCGGACTCCCCCTCAGAGAAATCCTGCGACCCTCAGTGTGTCTGTGTGTGTGTTGCACTCTCAGTATACATCAGTGACTAATGGAAATCTGTTGCTGCTTACATTGTGTTCATGTTTGTGGGTTAAGAGAGGGTGGTGGCTCAGTGGTCACCCTAAGTTATGAAAGTTTGACACACAGCAGAACTAACATGTGTTTAACAGGTGCTCCCAAGCCAGCACTAAATCCCTTTACAGAAACACAGCCTGCAGCACAGACATCTTTCTTTGTGTATTTAAACGCTATTCTGTGTAACGGTTCTTGTTATGCTGAATTTCACAGATGTGGATTCTTCAAGCCTTTTTTTTTTTTTTAAATGTATCTGCGCTCTTTTAAATGGTAATTGTTTCTATGCCCTCGGTGCACCTTTGTTTGAAAATCTAACTTTGTAATTAGGAGTTCAACAACACTTTGTGGAAACATTTATAAACGACATAACAGATTTTTACAGATAAATGCTGGCATTCAACGTTTCCTTTCTTTCTCTGGCAGAATGTCTGGAAATGCCGAACTGGGAACGCTCCATTGATGCGTAAATCTGTTCCAACCCTATGACTGTAAAACTTGTCATAGTCAAACAAGCAAAAAAGAAATGATGTGCCAAATTAAATTAATAATAAACATCAATCTGTAAGCTTTATACTGGTATTGGTGCTGAGGGGGTAGAGGCAGGGCAGCCGAAAGTCCCAGGTTCGATCCCCAGTCATTGCACATCTCGTGGTGTCTCTGAGCAGGACACCCTATCCCCGATAGCTCCCCAGGCGCTTTTAATAGCTGCCCACTGCTCCACCTGGTGGTGGATGGGTTAAATGCAGAGAGCCAATTTTGCCATTGTATGGGAACATACAATGATGACAACACATAACACATTATTTTCATATTATTACTGATGCTGGGAAGGCTTAAACAGTGGCTACATCATGCATTTATAGGTGGCTTTTAAAATAAAATCATTTTCAAGTGGTCACAGTAACAGAAACGTCTTGTTTCACATAGTTGCCTGGAAAAATCTTATTATACCCAAGTAAATTCCTATCTGACAAGCTCAAAAAATATGGACGATGAATCCAAGGCATGGGCTAAAAATGTTGCATTCTTCAAGTCCAGCCACTCCTGAACCAGAGACGATATCAGAAGCATCTTACCTGGCTGAGGAGACAAAGAACTGGACTGATGCTGAGTGGTCCAATGTCCTCTTTTCAGATCTAGGTCCCAGAGTCTGGAGGAAGAGTGGAGAGGCCCAGAATCTACATTGCTTGAAGTCCAGTGCGAGGTTTCCACAGTCAATGATGATTTGGGGCCATATCATCTGCTGGTGTTGGTCCACTGGGTTTCTGAAGTCTTCAGCCCAGGTAAGACTTTTCTGATGCCGTCTCTGGTTCAGGAGCAGCTTGACTTGAGGAATGAGACATTTATAGCCCACGTCTAGAATTTGTCTGTGCACGAGTTTCCAATGTGGAACTTTATCGCGATATTCTTATTTTC